GTTACTCAAAGATTATTCAGATGCAATTAAATTGTTAATCCACTCATTTCAAGTAAGGGACCTAATTAAAATCAACTAGGAATCCTTGAAGTCCAGGCTGAAGTTTCTCTAAGAAAGAAGAAACTAAGCCTTTGAACAATAGCTTCAGCGTCTACCTGCCTCCTGTTGCTCATCTCTTTATGACTTCTTGCCCTATGAATTTCAATATTCCTTATCCAGCCCCCAAAGCTGCATAGGTCTATATGCATCCCCATGCACCCTATTTGCCCACTTCTCTGGTTTATCCTGACTGATATTACACATTAAATATAAAATAAAATAATATGACAGAGTTGAAAATAAACAGATAACATATAACATGAATAGGTTAACCTAAGTTTTGAAAAATGATTAAAAGAAAATATAAGATGAGCCTGCAGCATGTTGTACTACCAGAAAGTAAGGAAGTTTAAAAAAATGAAGGCATGTCAAAGAACCACAGGAACCAATCAGAAACAACTCCCAATAGTCAAAGATTGGAAACTCCAAACCAAAAAATAAATACCGATGTGCTGGATAGCTTTAGTGTCAACTTGACACACCTCAATTTGGGAATTGCCTTCATTGGACTGGCCTGTGGCTATGTGCATGGGGCACCTTCTTGATTGTTGAGTGATGTGGGAGGGCCCAGACCACTGTGGGTGGTGCCACCCCTGGGCAAGTGGGCCTGTGTTGCATAAGAAAGCAGGCTAAGTAGGGGCCAGGGGAGCAAGTCAGTAAGTAGCATTCCTCCATGGCCTGTGCTCCAGCTCCTGCCTCCAGGTTCTTGCCCTGAGTTCCTACCTTGGGCTCCCTAATGAACTGTGACCCAGGAGATATAAGCTGAATAAACCCTTTCCTCCCCAACTTGGTAATGGTCAGAGTGTTTTGTCACAGCAACGGAGAAACAAACTAGGACAACCGAGGACTAGATTATAACTCAAAATGCAAAAGAGTTTATGTGAGTCTTTGTTAAGTAAATAATCAGGAGACTGGAGATGATGCATCTTTTAAAATAATTCTATGTAATCTAATTTTTGCAGATTCTCCCCTCCAAAACGTGGAACTTAGCTATCACTACTACCTCCATCCTTTTGGGTGTGAATAAGTCTTAGTGACTTGCTTCTCAATGAGAGAAAACCAAATTTAGAGTGGTGAAGACTTCATAAAGCATTATAGCCACAGCTGTAGGATTCCTTATGTCAAACTCCACATTTATCAAACCCCTTCAACTTCCTTTTCTTTTACTAACTGGGAAAAAAATGTCGGCCTTTAAAGGTACTCATGTGATTTTTTTTAAGTTCACCTGAATAATCTTCTTATTTTAAAATCATCTGTGTCATTTAAGAAGATATAATCATAAGAAATATATCTCACCATATCTATCTTCACAGATTCTAGAAAGTAGGCATTGATATTTTAAGAACCACTTTTAAAATTCTTCTTACTACATCATTGTATATATTTATATACATATGTGTAACAAATTCGAAGCTAAAGAAAACTTATTTGTATGAATAACTAGATCTTTACAGAAAAATTGTTCTGAGATGGGCATGGTGATGTATTCCTGTAATCCCAGCACTTGGGAAGCTGGGGCAGGCAGATTATCATAAATCTGAGGCCAACCCAGGCTGCACACCAAGCTCTACTTTAAAAAAATGTCCTGGGGATGGGGAGATAGCTCTGTCCTTAAAGTGCTTCACATGCAAGCATGAGACCAACTTGATCCCCAGAATCCACATAAAAAGGTGGGCATGATGGTGCAAGCTTGTAAAGTCAGTGCTGAGGAAGCAGAGAAAGGTGGATTCCTGGACCTCTCTGGCCAGCCAACCTAGTTTAATTGGCAAACTCCAGGCTATTGATAGACCATGTTTCATAAAACAAGGTGAATGGCCCCTGAAAAAGGGCACCTGCCATTGACACCTGACCTCCATAAACATGTGCACACATATTCATACAAAACTACATATGCAGACATGCACAAATACATATACATGTACACATGTAAGCAAACATAAATTGTTCTGCAAGAATCATCTATAAGTATAGTACATTTTAAGTTTCAAAAGAAATGATTAGGAAATGTATTCCAAAATTATCATAACCTAGAAACATGTTGTTTTCATTATATAGATTGAAAATGTGGTTTTAAAAAGTATATATTTTGAGAATCCAATAAATGATTTTTGCAGAAAAGTGAGCTAAAATTCTTATGACTAAAAGAAGAAAGAGAACCAGACATGGTGGCACATACCTGTAACTCCTGAATATCAGATGTTGAGGCAAGAAGATTATATCTTTGAGACCAACCTGAATTACATAGCAAGATGTTGACTAAAAAAAAAATCTTATGATCAATCAATGAATCATATTAATAAAATGTATTATATAAATATTTTCTATCTTGTTCACTTTGTAAGCTTATGTTGCTATTTGTATATCATTAATAACTTTGTTGTTAATATATTGTATATGTGATTCAGTATTTTAAGGGATACTATTGATATTTTAGTACCTTTAACAGTACTTTAACAGCTTTTATTGCTTTATGCATAAGAGGTCCTCCATTTAATTTGTATTTGTTCTCACAGACTACATATCAAACTTTGACTTGGCAAGAACATTATATGAATTGAAAACTACAACCCTAAATCTCTCATGAACACAACACAAAAATCTTTAATAAAATGGTCTCGGCTTGAATCCAGGAAGCATAATACAAAAACCATGATGTATCGTGAGCAAAAGGTGTTTATCTCAAGAACTAAAATTGTAATTAATATTTAAATATATATCAACTTAATTCATACTATGAATAAAGATAAATTATTATAATCACAACAAAGGCAGATAACTGACAAATTTCAGTATCAATTCAGAATGAAAATAAAAATCTCAGGAAACTAGGAAGTCTCTTAAACCTGAAAGAGGCTTCTAAATGAATGAATGGATAAGGAAAATGTAATACATATAGACAATGAAATTTTACTCAACTGTAAAGAAAAATGAAATTTGCAGGAAGATGGATGGATCTGTAAAGTGAGGTGCCACAAACTCAGAAAGACAAAAATTGCATGTTCTTTGTCATTTGCAGATTCTAGCCTGTAAGGGGGGAGAGAGAAAGAGAGAGAGAGAGAGAGAGAGAGAGAGAGAGAGAGAGAGAGAGAGAGAGAGAGTAGGTAGAGCTGATAAACTAGAAAATAGATCAAGAGGGGCTAAAAATAGGTGAAGAGGCCGGGAGTGGTGGCGCATGCCTTTAATCCCTGCACTCGGGAGGCAGAGGAAGGTGGATCTTGGTGAGTTCAAGGCTAGCCTGGTCTACATAGTGAGTTCCAGGACAGCTGGGGCTACAGGGAGACCCTGTCTCAAAAAGACCAAAAAAAAAAAAAACCATAGGTGAAGAGGAACAAGGCATTAACAAAAGGATACATGGGACATGAAAGAGGAAAAAAGACTGGGGAGCTCAGAGGTTTAAGGGGGATGAAGGGGAAGGAAATTCTAAAACATACTTGTTTGGAAATGCCATGATGATATCTAACACCTTGTATGCTCGTTTAAAACTGAAAATTAGGAAAAAAGGGAATCTAGGAAAAACAACAGCAAATAATACATAATAGGGAAATAGTAAATGTTTTACTCTTAACATTAGGATCAAGTAATGGCATTCTCTTCACAAGGCTTTTCAAAAACTGAGCAAATCAATGCTGAAAGTGATAGTACACATGCACAATCTCATCCCTCATCAAGATGAGGCAGGAAGTTTGAAGGCAGTCTGTGCTACATACTGAGTTCAAGCCTGGCCTGCACTACATAGCAATCCTGTCTCCAATACTAACAGCAAAATAACTGACAAATGGTTTGTTTTTTTTTATTTGTTTTATGTATATGAGTATTATGCCTGTATCTATGTATGTGCACCCTTGTGTCCAATATCTCTGGAGGCCAGAAGAGGGCATTGAATCCCCTGGAATTGGAGTTATGGACAGTTGTTAGCCACCATATGGATTCTACGAACTGAATCCAGGTCCTCTGAAAGAGCAGCCAGTGCTATTAACCACTGAGCCATCTCTCTAGCTCCATGGAATTATTTTCTTACATAGATTTTTGTGTTATGTGTTTCTAATCAGTGGAAAAAAATATGTGCTTATTAATCTTGTGTTCTGTAACCTTGCTATGTTCACTCATTGAATCAAATAATTTTTATATACAGATACTTTAGTGTTTTTGCTTTTAAAAAGATCATATTGTTTGTACATTTAAAAAGCCTGGTCACAGGAAAAAATTACCAGTCTAGAAAATATCATTGATTAATTATTCTAAGTATTTCAGAAAAAAATCCAACACAAACTTTTCTTAAAGAAAACAAAATATAATGGACTGAGAAACTTGTTTTATAAGTATAGCAAAACATTGTATTAAAATAAAACAGGTACAGGCTGGCGAGATGGCTCAGTGGGTAAAGGTACTTTCTGCACAAGGGTGGTAAACTGAGTTCAACCTCCAGAACTTATATAAAGTTGGAAGGAAGGAACCAATTTCAAAATTTTTCTGACCTCCACATACATGCTGTGGCCCATGGGCTCAAACCCATCCATCATGGACATATATTCACTCATTCACACACGCACAACAACAATAACAACAATAATAATAAATTTTTAAAACTCTTATTAAATAATTTTATTAAAGAATTTAAAAAAACTTTTATTAAAATATGTGGCATACATTATATTGAAAAACTAATTACAGGCAAATATCTGATTCAAACATAAATGGAAAAATCCTAAACATTTTCAGTAAACCAAATCCAGTAATGTATAGAATAATACGCTAATATACTATGAATATATACTGTAATTAACTGTATTAGGACAGTCTTTCTGTATTCATTAATTCAACATTTAAGGCAACTTTACAGATCATAAAATTGATCATAAATTTCTATAACAATCATAATCTACACTGCCATTTTTTTTAGGAATTGTCTGAAATTTCTATAACCTTGCTCTAGAAAGAGCAGGGCAAGGCCTCAAAGCACTTCAAAACTATTCTGGCAAGCACTGTAGGAATGCACACGGTCTACATTGCCATTTTTAATTAGTTCAAGTTAAGTGTAGAATCCTTGCCTCCCATTAGGTCCCTGAGTTCTTGCCAATTTATGACATAATTGTCTCTATGTAATTTTTTGATGATGTACACAACTATGTTTTATTATGGGTTTCATTGTGACATTTTCATGCATGTATATTGTGTACTTTGATCATATTCACTGCAATACCTTTTCTTATGCCTCCACTTTTCCTGTTGATCACTTTCTTCACTCCAATATTGTTACAATTTTATATAAACTTATAATCATATCAGGCATCTAAAAATTCTCTTTCACATTTTACGTATAATTTAAAAACAAAAAGGAATAAGGAAAACCTTCTACATTTACCCATACTTTACCTTTTATGTTGTATTTGCTGATTTTTCCATGATTTTTTCTTTTGTCACTTTCTTTCCACTTACTGAACTTTAAACTATTATTTTAGTGTACTTTTGCTTCCATAAAATTCGAATTTAAAGGAAAATTCTCTCAATTCTTCTTCAACTGAAAATAAGTTGATTCACTCTTCAAACACGAAGGATATTCCTTCTGGATATAGGATCCTGAGATCACAGGTCTTCTGTTTCAGCAGATGGAAAATGTTATGTCTCTTCCTTCTGGCCTCCACGAAGAGGTAGAAGTCCATGTACAGTTTTACAGACAGTGCAGGATTGTAGGGTGAAATCAATTCTAAACAGTAAGGATGAAACTCTCTGCCTTCTTCATGGTGGTTGAGCTTCATGGTGGTTGATTCATCGTAACCTGGCAAGGGTGGAGACAGAGGCCATAATATTTTGAGTGTGGTTTGCCTGGAGTAGCGTGTTTAATTTTTTTCCAATGATTTTTACAAAGTTATTTACATTATTTTAAAACATTCATTATGTTGGTGTGACCGACAAAGTATATTCTACTAAACTCTATTGAAATGGTATTCGGAAGTGGAGATTTTGTTAGGTAATTACATCATGACAGTGTAGGGGAGTGACTTTTATAAAATGGACATAGTTTGGACTAATGACTTTTAATTAATCCCAGCAAAACCATGTGCTCTGTGGCTAGTGACCTGGTCATCTGATCTCATTTCCTTGGCAGCCCCAGTTTGGTACTCCACTCAAAAAGATAATGAATGGATATAGGTGTGATTGAGAATTAACATATCAAAGCACTGAAAGGTGTCACACTCATCTCCACTGCAGATGGTGAAGCTTGGGAAGGACCTTTGATCTTAAATGAATGAGATATTCTAGAACTAGGAATGAAAAAAAAATTGGATGGTCTGGTAAGGTTAGAGTGGAAGCTTGTATCTCTCTAGTTGAAGCTGAAGAAACCATTTTGAATAAAATTATGAGTGGGACCAGACTCAGGGACACAGTACGAGGTACAGAGTCCCAACAGGACAGTTCCATTAGCACAGTTTCAGGAGACAGACAGTTCCAAGGGATATGTAGGGGATAAATGTCCTCTGAGTTTATTTCAGGGTAAGTAAATTTAAGAGTCAGACTTTTTGTTCAGGTGATCCTAATGTCAGCATAGTAACTATGCAACAGTAGAGTGTTAAAATGAGATTGGTACCCTTATAATAAACCAGAGAGCTAGCTAGACCTCTTTCTGCTATAAAAGGACACAGTAAGTACATGTCTATCTACAACACATAAGTGACTCTTCACTAGAACCTAGCGCATGTTGACATCCTGATATTAGACTTCTCAGTTCCCAGAACTGAAGAAATAAATTTCTGGTATTTATAAGCCACCTAGTTTATGGTATTTTCTTATAGTAATCTGAGTGAAGACCTAAGGTTTCATGATATAGCCAATATTATTACAAGCAATATGATTACCAAAAACATATTAAAATTTATTTGTGACTGCTTTTGTTCCTAAATTATATACTATTAAGGGTTTAGAGTCAAATTATCTTTTTCAATCATTTGAAATAATTCTTCTTAAGTGGTTAAATTTAGATTACCATGTCAATAGAAAGTTAAGTACATCCATTTCAATTTTTGTTTTAATCTTTAGTGATAACATTGGTATTTTCTGTTGTTTAACATTTTAATGATTTGCATGAAATCTACAATGTTCCAAAGGCAAAAATGCAAAATAATTTATGTTTATTTTACCAAATACTCCTTTCTCCTTTTTTATCCTAGTCTCTCATTCCTCTTATAGGTAGCCATTATTTTTGTTTAAAGTTATTTTTGACTTTACTTTTCAGAGTTGTCTTTTTTAAAACAATTTCATTTATTATTTTTATTTTATGTGTATGTGTGTATTGCCTGCTTGTAGGCAAGTGCACCCGTGTCGTGCAATGCCTGTGGAGGTCAGAAGAGGCTGTCGGATCCCCTGGGACTGGAGTTACAGACAGTTGTTAGCTGTCATGTGGGTGCTGGGATTTGAACCCAGGTCTTCTGCAAGAACAACTAGTGTTCTTAACCACGGAGCAATCTTTCCAGCCCCTCCTTTTTAAAAAATCTTATATTTTAGGATTGTCTTTAAGTAGAAAAATAACTCCACATTCCTATTCTTACCTTCTTTTTCAGATAAAGGGAGAATAGTATATACACTGTTCTGAACTTTGGCTTTTTTTTTTTAAACCTGAAAACCACTTAATACTAGTATATAAAAAGATTCCTCATCTATTTGTACAACAGCTGCATAATCTTTCACTGTGTGACTATAAGTTAGTGATTCAATCAGTCTGTAAGGAAGTACTTTCAAAGAAACAGTGTCATGTAACAGGCCCGGAAATGTGGCAAGCAGGGAATTAAGAAAAAATGTCCGTTCTGGATTATGAGCAGTTACTTGTTCCAAGAGAAAATTGCTTGAACGGTGAGTTCATCATTTCAGTACTGATGTGTTTGTGATAAGAAGGAGTTTCATGCTTGAACCCAAATTGAAAAGAATTAATATGATGGGAAAAATCACAACTCTTGAAAGAGAACGATGTTTTCGGCACATTAGAGGGAAAAATATCTCTGCTTTGGCATAGTAATTTGTAGTTACAGAACTGGAAAACTGGGGTGGGGGGGCTGAATGAAATACAGTTAAATATAACTACACCTGAGTCTAATTCTACATGCTAAGGTAGAAATTAGTAATAATACATATTTTAAAAATTCAGAAGATATTTGTCCACATACCTGTGAAAAAGGAAATCACAAGTGTTAGAGGAAATTTGATGTCCCAAATTTGCTTATTCTGCTATGAGGTTTTCCACCTATCATCTTATTTCATCTTCACAACTACCCATTCAGGTTGGTAGGAAAGATATTATTTTGTTTCTTTGAGATATAAGAATGTTCAGGGATGTGAAATGACTTATCTAAGATCATTCAGATATCCAGTGAACACTGATGCCATTCCTAGTTCAGTCCTCTATATATATATAGCAGAATAGATAAAATAGCATCAAATAAGGCTTATGTAATCTTTCTATTCAAATTTTGATTCATACTTACTGTACAAGCTCACTGTGAACTCAGTAGTCCATTAAAAGGGCCTAGGGATAGAGCACAGAAGACAGGACTGATTAACAATGAGGTAAACCAACAAAATAATTTTGGGGGGCTTTGAGACAGGGTCTTCCTGTAGCCCAGACGGACCTCAGTCTCACAAAGATCCAACTACCTCTGCCTCCTGAGTACTGGCATTAAAGGTATGTGCCACCATGCCTGGGGTCCAACAAAATTTATTGCTATATTAGTAATCAGTTGTCCCATAGCATACAAATTTCTTTTAAAAACATGGCCGTTCCCCAGTGCAAGTCCATTCACTGAGTCTAGTCAGCCTATCTAGAGTCCCTTGTTTTAGGAAGATCAGCTCTTCTTCATCTAGTAGCAATCAGATGCCAATATTCCTTCAGATAGAGTATATGGGCTGTAGTGGGGGTGGGGGGGAGTTATAGGAGGGTGCCAGTGGGGATGGGGGAATAAAGATGATTAAGATTGCTTGAGATGCTCTGTATGAAATACACAAAAAATTCAATAAAATTTTTAAAAAGATGGCCTTTCATAACCAAATCTGAGAAAGAGCATGCCAATCACTTCTGTTTAATCTCACAGACCAACTTTTATGTGAATACCATGTGGCAGGCAACTCTAGTGGGCTATCTTAATTCTTTGGCTCCAATAGAGCTAGCACTGATAGGCAGTCTTACTATGTGCCAGATTCTTGCCAAGAACTTCACAGCAATTAACTCAAACTACTTTGAGGCATACCCTGTTACTATTCCTACTTTACAGATGAGGAAACTTAAAATGGTTAAGATGGTGGTTAACGTGTCAAAGTCACTGAGTAGGAACTGGCAGAACCAGGATTCAAACCTAGGCAGTCCAGCACTATCCCATTGAGCCATATTGCCTCTATGTTTAGGTATTGGTAAGTGCTATGAAGAAAACAAAATGAGACAGAGTGACAAGAGTGGGTGAAACCCTTAATTTTTTGTTTGGTTTTGTTTTCAATTGACTTGTTGGGGTAGGTCACTCCTCAGAAATTATATTTGAGCTGTTACTAAAAGGATCAGATGAAAACCAAACTTATGAAGAACTTCCAACAATACACTGTACATGAAGGGAATATAATGTACAAAGTACTCAAGGTAGGCAAGTTCTTGGTGTGTTCAAGGAACACAATTAAATCAATGTGGTTTAAGTGTATTGAGTGAGGAAAGGTTTTTAAGTGAGTTTAGGATCTAGGCAAAGGCCAGAATATTTTATCATCTTTGGAACCCTGTGAGGTCATCAATATCCTCAATTTAGAGATGAGGAAAAGATGAAGAAAACGAGAAGTTGTGTCTTACTCAAGGTCACAAATTCATAAGAAACCAGGATTTGAGACATATGCATTTGATTCCTGACTCAATTCTTGTTTTCTCTAAATGCGTTGCCTCTCTCATCCCTTCCATGATGTTATTGATTTCTACAAGGTGTTTTGCAATCCCCCACTCCAGTAAAGAGGGAAAAAGCCCAACATCAGACTAGTGAACCAGTAAGGGCTTTTCCCTCCTTCCAGGGCTGTCCAGGAAAGTGTGCTCAC